CAATCACCACTCACCACCACACAGACACCACCAATCACCACTCACCACCACACAGACACCACCAATCACCACACTCACCACCACACAGACACCACCAATCACCACTCACCATCACACAGACACCACCAATCACCACACTCACCACCAATCACCACTCACCATCACACAGACACCACCAATCACCACTCACCATCACACAGACACCACCAATCACCACACTCACCACGACACAGACACCACCAATCACCACTCACCACGACACAGACACCACCAATCACCACTCACCACGACACAGACACCACCAATCACCACTCACCACCACACAGACACCACCAATCACCACACTCACCATCACACAGACACCACCAATCACCACTCACCACGACACAGACACCACCAATCACCACTCACCACGACACAGACACCACCAATCACCACTCACCACGACACAGACACCACCAATCACCACTCACCACCACACAGACACCACCAATCACCACTCACCACCACACAGACACCACCAATCACCACTCACCACGACACAGACACCACCAATCACCACTCACCACCACACAGACACCACCAATCACCACACTCACCACCACACAGACACCACCAATCACCACTCACCACCACACAGACACCACCAATCACCACTCACCACGACACAGACACCACCAATCACCACTCACCACCACACAGACACCACCAATCACCACACTCACCATCACACAGACACCACCAATCACCACTCACTATCACACAGACACCACCAATCACTACACTCACCATCACACAGACACCACCAATCACCACTCACCATCACACAGACACCACCAATCACCACTCACCACGACACAGACACCACCAATCACCACTCACCATCACACAGACACCACCAATCACCACACTAACCACCACACACACCACCAATCACCACACTCACCACCACAAAGACACCACCAATCACCACTCACCAACACACAGACACCACGAATCACCACACTCACCACCACACAGACACCACCAATCACCACTCACCATCACACAGACACCACCAATCACCACTCACCAACACACAGACACCACCAATCACCACTCACCACCACACAGACACCACCAATCACCACTCACCAACACACAGACACCACAATCACCACTCACCACCACACAGACACCACCAATCACCACTCACCATCACACAGACACCACCAATCACCACTCACCAACACACAGACACCACGAATCACCACACTCACCACCACACAGACACCACCAATCACCACTCACCATCACACAGACACCACCAATCACCACCACACTCACCACCACACAGACACCACCAATCACCACTCACCACCACGCAGACACCACCAATCACCACTCACCACCACACAGACACCACCAATCACCACACTCACCACCACACAGACACCACCAATCACCACTCACCACCACACAGACACCACCAATCACCACTCACCACCACACAGACACCACCAATCACCACTCACCACCACACAGACACCACCAATCACCACACTCACCACCACACAGACACCACCAATCACCACTCACCATCACACAGACACCACCAATCACCACACTCACCACCAATCACCACTCACCATCACACAGACACCACCAATCACCACTCACCATCACACAGACACCACCAATCACTACACTCACCACCACACAGACACCACCAATCACCACTCACAAACACACAGACACCACCAATCACCACACTCACCACCACACAGACACCACCAATCACCACTCACCAACACACAGACACCACCAATCACCACACTCACCACCACACAGACACCACCAATCACCACACTCACCACCACACAGACACCACCAATCACCACTCACCAACACACAGACACCACCAATCACCACTCACCAACACACAGACACCACCAATCACCACACTCACTACCACAAAGACACCACCAATCACCACACTCACCACCACACACACCACCAATCACCACACTCACCACCACAAAGACACCACCAATCGCCACACTCACCACCACAAAGACACCACCAATCACTACACTCACCACCACACAGACACCACCAATCACCACACTCACCACCACACACACCACCAATCACCACACTCACCACCACAAAGACACCACCAATCACTACACTCACCACCACACAGACACCACCAATCACCACTCACCAACACACAGATACCACCAATCACCACACTCACCACCACACAGACACCACCAATCACCACACTCACCACCACACACACCACCAATCACCACACTCACCACCACAAAGACACCACCAATCACTACACTCACCACCACACAGACACCACCAATCACCACACTCACCACCACACACACCACCAATCACCACACTCACCACCACACAGACACCACCAATCACCACACTCACCACCACAAAGACACCACCAATCACCACACTCACCACCACACAGACACCACCAATCACCACACTCACCACCACACAGACACCACCAATCACCACACTCACCACCACACAGACACCACCAATCACCACACTCACCACCACACAGACACCACCAATCACCACTCACCACCACACAGACACCACCAATTACCACACTCACCACCACACAAACACCACCAATCACCACTCACCACCACACAGACACCACCAATCACCACATTCACCATCACACCACCACACACTCAATCACCTCTCACTGCTCACATCTCACCAACCGTACCAGACACGCCTCAACAATCACCTCACGAGCCACCTCTGAATCTCCTCGTCGGCCTCTGGCCTCACGGTTCCCTCCACGATCATCAATAGGATCCATAAATCTTGGCTAAATCAGCCGGTAAAAATCTCAGAAATCATCGATCATCGCGTTTCAATCTGAGCCGCCGATCAATTCGTTTAATCTTGGCCGGCCATTACGTCCCAACAGCTCCACGGCAACGCGCCTCCTCTCGGCCATCGATCTTCCATTCCACCCCCCACTCTACCCCCTCCACCCCGCCCTCTCCTTACCCCCCCGCCCCACACCGGACAAACCCCTGGAATGTGGATCGCTCATTTGTTAGCTTCACTTTGCGTCGGGTGTGGGTTTTTGTTTTGCACGTTTGCAGCTGATCACTAGGCTCCCTCCCTCCCTGTCACCCCCTCAGCTCCCCCGTACTCCGCGGGGGGGAGATGTCAGGACTCGCGAGGTTGGCGGCAGCGGAGAGACAGCCGTCACCAGCGGCAGCGCAGTGCCGGAGCTTACACGGGGCGAGCGGCTTCGTGGCAGAGAGGCCTCCTCCATCGAGGCGCCAGCGGCTCGTGTGTTCAAATCGCCGTCACCAGTTCTTCCGGCCCCGCTAATTGTGCACCCGTGTGCCTGTCCGGCAAAATAAATCCCACTGACACGGACGCAGGAGCAGTGACACTGCTGCTGCTGTTTTGTTTGGGATTTCTGGGAGGCTTGGCTGTTGCATCTGGCATGGATCGGCGCAAATCCGGTGCAGGCGGTTGTTGAATGGAGCAAAGTCACTCTCCTGCACGCTCGCTTAATCTCCTTCTCCTCCTCCTCCTCTTGAGAATGGGGCTAGCAAGCAACTAGACCCTGACCCTAACTCGCCAACCAACTCGTCTACCCAGCACCCACGACACTCTTCCCAGACCCCGCGACACCCTCCCGAAGCCCCTGCAAGGAAATTAGAGTATTCTCAATGCTTATTCCATTTCAGATACACTTAATTTCACGTAGAGTGAAAACTTAATTAACATGCAATCAATTCCGTTTCTGGAAATGACTTCTGCATTACAGGGGTAACAATTTTGCCTCCCCCTTCCCACCCCCTCCCCGAACTGTGCAGCTGGGTGCATCACTGATGACGATGATGACGACAACAACAACAGCAACGACGAAGGCGATAACAGTAATCGCAATAATTGTACCCAACTCATTTCGGCAAAAACTTCCCATGGCGCCAGCGACACGCAACGGTGCCGTTGCGGCTACGATCATTGATGACGACATTAATCAAACGGCCCAAACGTCGACGCCGAATCTCTTCGTAAAAAAAATTGTTTTTGCTCCCCCATCCCGTAACTCGACTGCTTTGGCCCGAATCTATGTTCCGATTGTTTCGGCCTCTGATTCGTATTCGCTTTGTCGCTCGCGCTCCACTCATTCACCGTTATGTTACTTTCAGCTCTGTCGCTATAGGTGACCTGGGTCACTCGTGCAAATGAGACTCATCCCGGTGCTCTTTGAGCTCTCGTCCGGCTGAGCGACTCAATTGGACCTGACTATGGAAGGTCAGAGCCGCCACAAAGTTGAATCTCCCGGGTGGGATCAGGGGTCAGAGGTCACAGGTGAGAGTGCTGAGCCTGGCACTGCCAAAATTCTGGTGGGGCGCTGCTGTGGTGAGATCTTAACTACCTCGACTGGAATACAAGAGGTTGTGGATTCAATCCCGACCTTCATGCCTGCTCTATATTTTGAGTTTGCATGTTCTCCCCGTGGTCATGTGGTTCGTTCTCCAGGCCCTCCGGTTTTTCCCTCCATATTTAGAATCAACATGCCGTTTAAAGTATTTGGCTGCTCTAAATTGCCACGTGATATACAACTTTGCTGACCTATCATTAGTGGCCAGGTCGCTTCTGAAAAAGAGCAATATAGCCCAGTGGGCCTTACCTGATAAAATAAAAAGTTGAATAATTTTTTTAAGCCGCTGTCCGTGATTAAACCAGCTTCTCAAGTGTAGCGAGTTGATGGTCTCAGCCGTATCACCAACAATTGCACGAAACAACGCGTCATAATTTCCTTCTGCACTTGGGCAAAATTTCAGCCCTGGGAATTACATTTCGGCTTTGCTCTCTCACGTGATGAACATTCTTCTCACATGCAGAGCACGTAACGGACCAGAGGTCACTCGAAGGGGATCTCAAGGGGTGGTTCTGCAATATCCGCTTCCGCGTGCCATTCTCCAGCACGGACAGGCGGCGTGGCGCTCGCAGCGAGAGATTTGGACGGACGCCTCGTTCTGACGCGGCGAGCCGAGAGCACCATCGGCATGAAATTGGGAATAATAAAACATTCAGCGTTATATATTTATTTATTTATCTGGCGTGGGCCTAACGGCAGCAGCCCCGTGGTAGCCGGGTGGCTTTCATGCTCGCCAGCGCGAGTGGCCGAAGCCGACGGGGGTCGTACCGTTACGTACGAAGCGTTGATGTAGTCCGACCCCTCCACGCCGGGAATCGGGGAGAGCAGCACGCGGGAGTGCTCGGCTGTGGGAGAGAAGAGGTGAGAACGGGTTGGGGAGGGGGGGATGAGGCAGGGAGAAAGAGGTAGGGAGAGACAAGTAGAGGCGGGGAGAGGGAGGGAGAGAGAGGGAGAGAGAGGGAGAGGCAGGCAGGGAGAGAGAGAGGCAGGGAGAGGCAGGGAGAGGCGGGGAGAGGCAGGGAGAGAGAGAGCCAGGGAGAGGCAGGGAGAGGGAGAGGCAGGGAGAGGGAGAGGCGGAGAGAGGGAGAGGCGGGGAGAGGCAGGGAGAGGGAGAGGCAGGGAGAGGGAGAGGCAGGGAGAGGGAGAGGCAGGGAGAGAGAGGGAGAGAGAGAGGGAGAGAGAGGGGAGAGGCAGGGAGAGGCAGGGAGAGGGAGAGGCAGGGAGAGGCGGGGAGAGGGAGAGGCAGGGAGAGGCGGGGAGAGGGAGAGGCAGGGAGAGAGAGGGAGAGAGAGGGGAGAGGCAGGGAGAGGCAGGGAGAGGCAGGGAGAGGGAGAGAGAGGGAAAGAGAGGGAGAGAGAGGGGAGAGCCAGGGAGAGGCAGGGAGAGGGAGAGGCAGGGAGAGGCGGGGAGAGGGAGAGGCAGGGAGAGGCGGGGAGAGGGAGAGGCAGGGAGAGAGAGGGAGAGAGAGGGGAGAGGCAGGGAGAGAGAGTGCGAAATATCTGGGGCAGAGCGGGGAAGGGGGGCCGACAGGAAAGTGGTAAGGGAGGGAGGAGGGGAGGCAGGGAGCGAGGGAGGGTAATCATCCATGAAGTGAGGGGAGGCAAGGAGGCTGCAATTGCCCACACGCTGCTGCTGCTGCGATTGGCCGATCTGTATTCTGCTGCCCAGGCACGCCGCCACTTGGCGCACGGCCGCTGGTACGGTGACAGTGGGGGGGGGGGGGTGCAGTCTGGATGTGGTGTGCCGAGCTGGCACTGTGCGATGCGCCCGGACAGCTCGCGTGCGAACGGGCAACGGTGGCGCCATCCCCGGTGCCGCCGCCGATGTTGCCGAGGAGCGGCGCGGCCTTCGGCTCCCGGCACACCACATCCAGTACTCCCCCCAACCTCCCATCACCCTGGCCGCTCTAACTCCGGTCTAACAGTGGCTCAGAAACTATTCGGCGGGAATATTTTTTGACGCCCTTGAGGACAGAATGAGTTATTTATTTCCCCTACAAAGAGTTGGCGAGGCGGTGATTCAGAGAGATATGAAGAAGGCCTTGAGCCTGCACTTGATGACAGGAACTTCCTGAACTTCACCTTTAACCCTGAACTTCACCTTTAACCCTGAACTTCACCATTAACCCTGAACTTCACCTTTAACCCTGAACTTCACCATTAACCCTGAACTTCACCTTTAACCCTGAACTTCACCATTAACCCTTAACTTACCATGGAAGATTCCCACAGCCAATGCCGTGATTCGTAAATGATTTTTGGATTTGGTTGCGAAGATCGTTCTCGAACTCACCGGGTGAGCGAGCGGGTGAGCGAGAGAGTGTTGATGAATTTGGCTGTGACAATCATTCTGCACCTCACCAGGTGAGCTGAGCTGACACGATCGCAATCGGCGCATTGCTGAACACTCCGTGACCGCGTGACAATTTAATTTGGCCGTGTCAGGTGGCGGAGGCTCTTGACAACAACAAATTCGGTCAGGTCATTACGTAGCGGCCCGACACAAAAACATCAATTGCAATCAGCCATTAATTGGCTGATTGCAATTGATGGGTGGTGGCTATCCCTCCGCTTGCAGCACGTTCGCCCTCGCTTCCAGTAATTGGGTTTAATTATTATTGAATCCCTCATTGTTTTGCTCAGGAAACATTGCTTTGTTTATATATTGAACACCTCTTTTATCATGCTGATTATTTGTGTAACGTTTATGTACAGACGCCTTTCGTTGAAATGCAGTGCTTAATGTAAATACGTAACAATGTTGAAGAAAATAGCAATATGTAAATTCATACCAACGTGTCAATAAATAACAAACGTGCGGCACCGGGTGGCTCTGGGGCAGAGCGAGCGGCTCGCGATTGGGAGGAACATGAGTTCAACTCCCGGTTGGGGGGTTGATTTCACAACATTTTTGCATCCGCGGTATTTACGCATCCACGGTTCTCTTTCGGCGTACCGATTTGCAAACTGCGTGGGCACGGGGTATTGCGTATCCCGCGGTTCAGCGCGGCGACCGGCAGGACTTCAAATCACCCTGCAAGCGGCGTTCCCTCCGTGCATCGTCTCATCCCCCAGCTCCCACCACCGCTCCCTTCCCACCACCTGCCGACGCTGCTCGCACAGCGACCGTTGTAGCGCGTGAACGTTGTCGCATCGCTTTGCAATATTCTGCATTTCCTGACCTTTAATCGTTGTTTGTTTGCACGAATTGTGCCCCTAAATCGTGGCCCGTGAGCGCGCGACCGGTGCGAGAAGGTGAAGCGAGTGCCAAAAGGTCCAGGAAAAGAGTGCGGCGTGGGTGGTCCGCTTCATGGGGTCCAACAAGTCCACCATTAGAACCTCCCTCATCACCACGGACTTCAACCCTCAGCATTAAAGGTAAAGAACGTGATGTTATTGTTTTTAATTATGTTAATTGAACTTTTTTTATGTTATTGTGTATTTTATTTGTGTTTAGTGAGGGAACGGGCAACTTAAGCTTTGACGAGTGTGACCACCGCGGCCGCGGTTGCCCTGACCCCCTATTTCCCAAAAGGCCTTGGCATTGCCAACTGCGGCGGTTTTCAGAAATGCAACGTAACCCCCTGCCGGTTCACGAGGGATCGTCGTCCCACTTTGCGGGGGGGGGGGGGGAAGTCAACAGCGGTTGTCCTCCACGTAGACTCGACCCCCGCCATACGAATGTGGAATTAACGCCGGTGGTTTAGGGCCAGCGGCGGCCCGAGCCCGGCGGCTACGCCGGCCAATGCCGCGGCGTGGCGCGGTCACCTTGAGATGGTGCGTGCGCCGCCCGCTTCGTTCACAGCGGGACGTTAACGATGCCGTGACGTTGCCGTGAGCAAGGCCCGCTGCGTGTGTCGGTAGTCGCGGTGCAAATTTGGAAAATGACGCACCGCGAATTACCCAAACTGGGATCACGCGCGGCAATCAGCGCACCCCTGCTGTAAGCCGACCATAATTGGCTGTGAAACGTAGCATCTTCATTAGAGCCCGGCGCTACGAGAATGGCGCAAATATCAAATGTGCAAAATTATCACTTGTTATGTTTGTACGCAGGTGCGCAAGTGTGTGCGGCGTGCAGGTGCATGTGTGTGTGCTACGAACGTGTCTGCTGCGTGCGTGCTGTGTGTTTGTACTATGAACATGAGTGCTGCGTACATGCGTGTGTGCCATGAACGTGCGTGCTGCGTGTGTGCTCCGTGCGTGCTGTGCGCACTGCGTGTGCGTACGCCACGAACGTGCGTGCATGCGCAAATGTGCGTGCCTGGGAGCACCGCGTTGGCGCGGTTCTTGACTCGGTTGCAGGCCTTGCCGGCGCTCGTGCATTCGCCATGTCGGGATCCTCCTCCTCCTGTCCCCGTCAGCAGCTGTCAGGGGAGCGCCAGAGCGACGTCATCGCACATCGTCGCGGCCGTAAAACGTCAACGGCACGAGCAACCGGGGCCATGGCGCGCTCATCGTTAAACCCTCTCAGACAAATTGAATCCCTCGCAAAAGTTCCTCTCCGCTGCAGCCGCCGCATGGCTCTGGAAGGAAATAAATAAAGCAAACCCTCACGTCGCGATAATTAAATTTCGTATTTTAATCAACGGAAGGAATCGAGTGGAATTTCAAGGCACAGTGGTGGCAGGTTGGGTGGAAGCAGGGGCCACAGGAGAACCCACGCTGTTAGCGAGAAGCAACTATGAAGGCCACACAAAGAAAAAAACCCCCCCTATACGTGGGGTGGTAGGTGGCCAGCACCACGCCCGTCCGCTTCTGTATCCCGAGTGGCGATGTTTACACATCACACCGAGTACCTATTTGAGGCTGAGTCGACCTAGGAGAGGCCCAGGACTGGTTTAGATAAACGTCACTGGTGTTAGTGGCCGTGAACAGCCAGTACCAGGTACATTGTGTGCCGTTCGTTTTGGCAGTTGGAGGAAACCGGAGAACCCAGAGATCATAAAGCTGCGCGCAGAAAGGCGCCCGCATCGGGAGATCTAACCCACCATCACCCTGCCGCCGACATTGGCGGTGTTTTTCACCGAAGACCATTTGAGAACGAGAGATTTTCACTGGAGGAGAGACGTCGCAAATTTGGAGCGATGCGGCACTATCCGCTTTGCGGAAACCTGGCAAAGCTGAGCGACGAGATCCGTCACGAACGCCCCTGAAGACGTCTGCACGTGCAAATTCGCGTTCACGAGTAAAGAGCTCGCGACGATTAACGGCATTCGCACCAGCACGTTCAACCGCGATTAGCGACGGGGGCCAGCGCGAGGTTTGAAAATAGACTTTCCCAGTAATGCCCGAAGTACAGGGAATGCAAATGATTAAAAAAGCAATTATCCGACGGTGAGCAAATAACAAAGTGGCCCGCTCGCCCATTCGGGGTCGGCTGGAATAGAGAACCGTTTGGATCGCTGCTCCACGTACGACGATACGTCGCGGTGAAAATAACAAGGTTCGGGTCCAGCGTTCCAGCTCCCGGGGGTGGAGGGGGGGGCTTGGCACAATAATTCCCTCTGCTGAATGTAAGAGGCCGGGCGGGGGGCCGCAAAAAGTCGTCGCGACCCCGGGGGTCGAGGGGCAGCGGCGCGCCCGGTGGAGAGAGCGCCTCCGGGTCGGCGCGCGACGTGGGAGACAAGCGCAGGAAACGGAACAAAAGCTGCGGATGAGCGCGGTGAGGTGCATGCTGGGAGCTTGCTGTGAGATTAGAGATCAGTTTAACATGTAGGCTTGGTTACTCCAAACTAAACTTAACAATTGTTTTCATAGCTAAGGCCCACTGTGCGATATGGATCTTTTTCAAATGCGTCCTGGCCATAAATGATGGCTCAACAAAGTGGCTTATCACGTGGAAATTTATAGCAGATAAACGCATCATGTTGTTTCTAAATGTGGAGGGAAAAACCGGAAGACCCGGACAAAAATCCAAGCGACCACAGGGAGAGAGACACTGCCAGGAGAGGCGGTGAACATCCCGGCCATCACGGCGCCACAATCTAAAGACCGCTCACCACAAAACATTTCAGAAATGTGATTGGGCGCCACGTCGTCCGGAACGTCGCCCCTTATATACCCCCCAGACTGCCTCAGCAGCAGCAGCAGCAGCAGACCATGCTTTCCCACCTGATGACGGACGCTTGTGTTGCACCCGAAACGTCGTGATTCATTTTATTTTCTACCCACGTGACTTTACCGAAAGAACCAAAGAGTATGGATTCCTGCAGTCACAAAAGCTTCAAATCAAAAATATTCCCCATGTTAAGGCCAAAGACACACGTGCACACACGTGTGTACGCACACATGCACACAAACACACACACGTGTGTACGCACACATGCACACACACACACGTGTGTACGCACACATGCACACATACACACGTGCACACGCATGCGCACACACTTGCACCAACACACCCGTAAAAAACGCATTTGTTGTTTAAAATACGGATGAGAGTCACTCACACGACTCTGCTTGTGCATGGCAGTGTGGCCGGTCTTGGCGTGCGGCGTGAGGATGCGGTTCACGTAGGCGTGCAGGCTGCCGGCCGGCACCTCGGTGTCGCGGCACGTCACCGCACCCACCAGCGCCTCGTGGATGAACGCGTACTGCTCCTGCTCGTGTGGGAGCACGGGGGAACACGCGAGAGCAAGGGCGAGCAAGGGGAAGTAAGGGGGAGCAAGGGGGGAGATGATTGGAGCCGTGAGCCAATATTTTATACACCGCGTTCATCGGGTGGCTGTAAGTGGCACGCGTCTCCCCTCCCCTCCCCCTCCCCTCCCCTCCCCCTCCCCTCCCCTCCCCTTCCCTCGTCTCCCCTCCCCTCCCCTCGTCTCCCCTCGTCTCCCCTCCCCTCCCCTCGTCTCCCCTCCCCTCCCCATCGCCTCCCCTCGTCTCCCCTCCCCTCGTCTCCCCTCCCCTCCCCTCGTCTCCCCTCCCCTCCCCATCGCCTCCCCTCGTCTCCCCTTCCCTCGTCTCCCCTCCCCTCCCCTCGTCTCCCCTCGTCTCCCCATCCCCTCCCCTCCCCTTCCCTCGTCTCCCCTCCCCTCCCCTCGTCTCCCCTCGTCTCCCCTCCCCTCCCCTCGTCTCCCCTCCCCTCCCCATCCCCTCCCCTCCCCTTCCCTCGTCTCCCCTCCCCTCCCCTCGTCTCCCCTCGTCTCCCCTCCCCTCCCCTCGTCTCCCCTCCCCTCCCCTCGTCTCCCCTCCCCTCCCCATCGCCTCCCCTCCCCATCCCCTCCCCTCCCCTTCCCTCGTCTCCCCTCCCCTCCCCTCGTCTCCCCTCCCCTCCCCTCGTCTCCCCTCCCCTCCCCTCGTCTCCCCTCCCCTCCCCTCGTCTCCCCTCCCCTCCCCATCGCCTCCCCTCGTCTCCCCTCCCCTCCCCTCGTCTCCCCTCCCCTCCCCATCGCCTCCCCTCGTCTCCCCTCCCCTCGTCTCCCCTCCCCTCGCTTCCCCTCATCTCCCATCGTCTCCCCTCGCCGCCTCTCGTCGCCCCTCGTCACCACAGCGATGGCACACGGCACCACACCTTCTCACCGCACCACACATCACCACACCTTCTCACCGCACCACACATCACCACGCAATCTCACCGCACCACACGGCACCACGCCGCCTCACCGGGCTGTGCACGAGGTGCGCCCGCTGCGTGCGAGCGTGCCGCAGGAACGCCGGGACGTTGAGGGCACCGCGCTCCCGCACCTGCTGCAGCATCGAGTCCAGCACCACGAAGGTGCCCACCGCGCAGCCCCCGGCACAGCCACGCATGCCGCACCTGGGAGGGGCGTGGGGGGGGACAACCAATCATAAGCGGCCAGCACGGTTATTCGAGCGATCGGTTACCGTGCCGATTACTCGAGAGATCAGTTACCGTGCCGATTATTCGATTGACTGATTCCTACACCGATTAGTGATTTGATCACTCAACTGATTGGACAGCACGAAAATAGTTGGGGGGGGGGAAATAGTTTCTGTTCCCACGTGTGCCGCTGGATAGGAGGTGGTCAAGAGTAAGGCAATGTTCTTGGCGTGCATGAGCCGGCAAACGTTCGAGCGACCGATTATTCTGGTGGAATGATTCGCGACCGCCCACCCGCATCAAGCATGCGGTGTGCGCAATGATTCCACTACCGTCACCACTGCTACCAATACCGCCACACACATGCCACCGCCCCCCCTTTCCCCCCATTTCTACCAGCGATCCGATGTCTCTTCACGATTCGGGTTTGACACGATTCGGGTTTGGCACGATTCGGGTTTGGCACAATATTTTACCAGCTAAGGCCCCACTGAGCTACACAGTAGCTCTTTTTTCAGAAGCGACCTGGCCATCACACATAATAGCTCGATGGAGTGGCTTATTGCGTGGACATTCATCACAGCCAAATACTCTAAACGCGTGATTCTAAATGTGGAGGGAAAAGCCAGAGGACCCAGAGAAAAATCCATAAGACCACGGGAAGGATGTGCAAACTCCAAAGATAGAAACGTCAGGGTCGGGATCGAACCCACCACGATGTCCTGCATACCAGGCACTTAACATCTCGCTACTGCGGCACCCCAGCATTTTCATTTTTTTTGGCACTGTTTTATCATCTTGATTTTCTAGTTATTATTATCATTACCGCCACTGCTGCTGTTGCTGTCCCTTTCGTAGCGAAGCCGACACCGCCGATCTGCTGCCGAAGCCACTTAAACCAGAGCCCCGTGACCCTCACGCTGGGGACGTTCGTTTTAATAACCTGCAAAGAGTGTTCATCGCCTGCCAATCACGCCGTCTCTATGTGTCTCAGAGGTGGAATTTATCCAAATTAAGTGAAAAACCAATTGAATGTGATGGGTTTTTTTTTTGTGCAGTCACATGCGACCGGCATTAGAGCATCGACTCGCTACGCTTGAGAGATGGGGAAGGAGCCATTGTTTAATCACGGTGGGCGGCGGCTGAGATCCGGATTTGAACCCAGGAACTCAGCTGAGGGGTCAGCGTCTGACCCCTGAGCCACCGGGCCGCCTCTGACCACGCGCATACATACTGAGCGATGCTGCCGGCTCCTGGCCCAGGCATCTAAACACACAAAGAATCGCCTGTGAGAATATGTATACACGTTTATATTACAATCCCTGTGGATTTTGCGCTAGAGTCATCACAGCCAGGCTCACGCGGCGAACATAGGCGCAAAAACAAAACCCGATCGCTGCGTTCGTGGCCGAACGCGAGGCCCTGCGCACGATCGCCGGGGCGAGACTAAAGACAGAGCTGCGGCTAAAGGTGGGGGGGAACGTGCGCACGCGGGAGTTCGTCAGTCGAAGAGATGGAGCGATAAAGCCGGTTTGCGCCCTTGCGTGTTGGCTGCACGTGACAGTCAACCGTTGTTGCATCGCGGGACGACGAGCGATGACTAACGGTTTGGGCAGCCCTTCATCCGGTGGTGGGTCGATCGTGGCCGACGGCGACGCGGGCGACGATGACGGCGTTAACGCCTCGCACAAGGCGGCCCAGTGGAGGCGTCAACAAGGGATGGGGGTGGAGGGGTCGGAGGTCGCGTACCCGGAGGTGGGGGCGTTGCTGGACGGCGGGGCCGCAGGGGTCACGGGGTCGGCGGACACGGACAGCTCCAGCAGGGAGGGGCGCGAGGGTCCCCTGCACGCGACCAGAGGTCAGTAGGGGCGAACGTCAAGTGTCTACACACGCCGACCCCTGCATCCCGACTCGCTGTGGCGTGAGGACCCTCCTGTCTCCCGAGAGACGGGCACATCGGTGTACGGTGTGGGGACACCTGCACCCAGCAGTGGATAGAGCATGGCTGCTGCTGTTCATGACAATGACTATGAACCTCAGAGAGGACATTACACAAGGTGCCCCGTGCGTGATGGCGCAATCTGCCAGTGCCCTCCTTCCTCATCATTGCCTCTGCTATTTTAATCCTGGGCGCAATGCTATTCGTGTACCGGAGGGTGCTTTGTTTGCTTCTCGGTTTGTAATTTGCATCTCACGTCTCGTGTTCACTCTGGGCAAACTTTTATTATTTTTGGTTAACCCATAAATGCTTTACCACACCGTCAAGTTTTGAATGTTTAGCAAGTAATGATTTTATGATTTGTTGAAAGGTTTTGCCAAATGTTGCACAGAGAACGTGAACTGCCGTGTGTCTGTTATGGCTCATGGTACACACACAAAGAGCCCCCGTGTAGCCTTAACGGACTGGTGAGACAAGTACAATAAGCGAGTAGCACCTATCAAGGCCACCACGGTACACGAGGGGGTGGGTGGCCAGCACCATGCCCTGCCACCTTTGTCTCCACAGTGCTGACGTTCACACGCTGCGCCAGGTACTCATTTGACGCCGAGTCGACCTCGCGGAGGCCAAGGACCAGTTCAGATAATTTTCACTGGTGTTGGCCGTGAGCGGGAATCGAACTCGGGTTACCGGACTCGGAGCGTTGAGCGCTAACCGCTGTGCCAATGTTCCCCATGCAAACGGTGCACACGCACGCTTGCACACACGCACGCACTTACCCGCAGTGCACGAGTGTCGGGCCGGCACCCTGCGCGCGCGTCCCGGCCGACGCTTTGCGCACGAACGCCAGGAGGGGCCAGGCCACGGAGGGGCCCCCCAGGGGGGTTGGGGGGCCCTCCGTGGCGTGGCGCGCCGAGAACGCCCAGTGGCACACGACGCGCTCCGGCACGCGACACCGCTGGGAGCCCTGTGGTGGCGATGCGGCACCACACACGCACGCACACAAGCAGAGTCGCACAAAAAGACTACAACCACCATTTTCCACGAAGTCGTGGTGACGTCATCACAACGCTTGTGCCAGGCTATGTGCACGTTAAGGCCCCGTGACCTCCCGCTGGCAGGTCACGGGACAGACCCAAGTGCCATGGGTTGCCTGAGATGATTGGCTGTTGCACCACCTGTGCCCCCTACTGTGCCAACTTGCTGTGCTTTAGCCACCCGACGCTCTGCTCGTTGTTGTGAGCGTCACTCCTCCGCCCTATGTTGTTGTTGGAGGGCGACTGCCTCCAACTGCCCAGTAGCTTCCTTCACGAGCCTCCTCCACAGAGGCCGATATTCACACCGCTGGTACCGGTCATCGGCAAGTCCACTCAGCTCCACATCCTCCTGTAACACATCACTCCATCTCTTCTCTAGCCCGTGCCGTGCCCGTTTAGCCCCCTCTATCCGGCCGAACAATAGCTGTTTAGGCATGGAGTGGCCGGGCATTCGGGCTACATGACCCAACCAACGCAGCCTTGCCTGCCGGAGGAGCTCACCGATGGGGCTTTGTCCAGATCTTTCAAGGATTTGTGAGCTCCTCACACAATCCAGTCTGGTTACATCTCGGATGGATTGTAGGCAGGCCAGCCTAAATGTTTCTAACCAGCGAAGATGTTCTATTAGGGGGGTCCACATTTCGCAAGGATAGAGAAGGGAGGGCATGACCGTGGCCGAGAAGACCTGAAGCTTCATGTAGAGAGGAAGACCAGGTAGCTTCCACACAGCGTTACGCAGCCGATGACAAAATGCTGCTCGGCTAATTCGGAGCGAGACCTCTGCTGTCAAACCGGAGCCGGTCATGAGCACACTGCCCAGGTACGTAAAACACAACTGCCCCAACATACACACACACACAATACCGCACACACACACACACAGTCGCAGACACACAAACACAAGTTGAACTGTCATTGTCACAGTCAGCAGCATTGCCATATTCACTGTCCATGTCTGTGTGCACATTCAACCCGGTGTCCAATTTACATGCAAAGCATCATCGGCATCGCCAGTGGGACCATCACAATAAGCATCATCAGCAGTAGCATAGCGTGGCTGGCATAGGCCCCGGTGTAAAATATTTATAGGGGGGGCGGCCCTTGTATAATTTGCCCCCCCCCCCCGGCTCTTCGTATTCCCGGTGCCTGGGCCCCTGCGGCTGATGGGACCCCAGTGCAATCTCACCGCCTGCACACTCCGAAAGCAACACCACTGGGTCCTGCAGGAGCCTTTGGGTCCGACACGAGTCTCTGAGTCTCTGGCAGAGGTCGCAATCGGGAACCCGATACCCGTACCCTACCCGATTCCCGGCTACCCGTACCCGACCGGGTACGGGTACCCGTATGCGACCCTGGTGTGGCCGGGGCCGGGTACGGGTAGGCCGTGAGTCACTGGTGAGTCACCGTTTGTCACTCATTTCGGGTAGGGTACGGGTACAGGTAGGGTACCTGTACCCGGCCGGGTACGGGTACCCATTTGCGACACTGGTGCGGCCGGGTACGGGTAAGGAAACAAAACCCGTTTGCGACCTCTGGTCTCTGGGTCTCTGTACGTGAGCCTACGGATCGCTCTGCCAGTGGCACAGTTGGGCACGGACCCCGGGTTCAAGACATCAAATTGACCCCTCTACCACTTGCCCATTCCCATTGGTGTGTCCCCCACCCCCATAGCCAGCCTGGTGTCTGGGCAACCCCAGCCAGCAAGGGGGAGGGGCGGGGTGGGGGTGGGTGCCCGGTGCGATTGCACCGCCTGCACACTCCGACAGCTGCTGCGTTGGCCGTGCCTTCTTGAACTTGCTGTTGCGGATGTGGAAGCGGCGTGCGGTGTAGAAGGCTCGCGCACGCGACGACTTGAGGGTGACCAGCACGGAGCCGTACTCCTCGCTGCCCTCCGCCGGCCAGTACTTCTCCGCCTGAAGCACACAAACACAAAGATCCTCCCTCCGTCCATCCTTTAACGCTGTTGGGGCAAGTGCTGTTAGTGAGTGCCGAGATGTTAACTACCTCGCCTGGTATACGGCAGGTTGTGGGTTCGATCCCGACCGCGACGCCCGTGTGTTTTGAGTTTGCATGCCTCTCCCCCCGTGGTCGCGTGGAATTTTTCTCCCTCCGCATTTAGAATCAACATCACGTGTTTAGAGTGTTTGGCTGCTATACATTTACACGTGATGATGAGCCACTGCGTTGAGCTATCATTTGCCCAGGTCGCTCCTGAAAATAGCTACACAGCTCAGTGGGGCCTTACCTAGTAAAATAAAAATAAAAGTTAAATCGTTTTTCATTTTAATAGTTTAATACGAAGGCCGGCAAGGCGCACAAAGGGGCGAGTGGCCAGCACCACGCATGCCCGGCCGCCTGTGCATTTCCAGTGATGATGTTCATTTGAGGCCAAGTAACCTCCATTGCATATAGACGTACGTACACACACCGAGGTACATACACACATCAAGGTACATACACACCTACGTACGTACGTATGTGTATGCACACAGAGGTACGTACACACACCTAGGTACGTACCAATACCAATACCAGCCATTCACCACTAAGTGACGGTGGTGTCACCACGGCTTATGTTCCAGGCCGGGTGCACTTTGAGGACACGTGAAGTGTTGAAGGCTCGCTAACAGGTCACGGGACAGACCCAGGTGCCATGGGTTGGCTGACTGAGATGACTGGCAGATGTAGCAGCTGTACCCGTACTGTGCCAACTTGCTGCATTTTGGTTTAACACGTAGGCTTTCACGACCAATATTATCCATAATAGAGGTTTTTGAGTTAGATCGCGTAAATATAAATGTGTCGTTAAATCCGCCAACACTCGGCACAGACAATTAGTAAGGTTTGTCACGTAAACAGAACATGCCAATTCGTTATTAGTTTAGCACACCGCTGTGTTGGAGAGTAAACCCACAACATTTACAATTAGAGTATGACGTTTGCCAGTAATTACTACTGGCATCATAATTGCTGTATTTTAGCCGCCCGGCGCTCCGCTCGTTGTTGTAAGCGTCACTCCTCTGCCCTCCATTGCTGTTGGAGGGCGACTGCCTCCCACTGCCCAGCAGCGTCCTTAACACACACCTACGCACGCGCGCTCTAATCCACGCGGCGCAATGAAGATGCGAGCCACGAAAACCGACGTTGACGCTGGTGCCTGCAGTCATGACAACTGCGATGTCGAATCGAACAGAGGGGGCGGAGGTTGAAGAGCGATGAGCCCCAGAGGGCGTGCTGACCTCGCTCCCTGTTGGGCGTCGGTGAAAAAAGAGCTTCATAGCTCATCAGATTCCTACGTCCTCAATAAAGATTCTCAATGACTGTATGTAAATGCATCTTCGCTTTGTCACCTTTCTTTTTGCACAGGAGCTGCAAAGTGCCCCAAGGGGGGCGGGCGGCGTTGGGATCTTCAAACGATCTCACAGTTTGTCGTGCTTGTCAGCTCGCCCTTATTAATTCAGAATCCTTCTCCCCCCCTCCGCTCCGTCCCATTCTTCTGTGTCAGACCACGAAAGATGAAAGGAAACGAAAGTCTGGACACCGCGCGGGGGAAGCCTCCCGACTGACGTAGAGGGGTAGTGCGCGAGCCGTTTGCCAACGCCGACACGACTTCGAAGTTGCCGAAGTTCCTGGTTTTAATCGAGCAGGCCGCCCTGGTTATTAGCCGGAGTACAAATGATGCTCCGCTCACGACGGACGTTAAAGATGCTGCGAAGTAGTTCGCAAAAGTTGGACCGTCGTGTGCCAGGGTCCACATTTTCCCAATCGAGATTATACAGCAGAAGCAGTAGCGATCATCGCCACTCTAACTGGCAGAGTGACGGCCCAGGTCACTATTGCGAATGAGACTCCTATCTTGACCTCGTGAGTTCTCACCCTGGTCACACAGAATCAGCTGGAAACGTGCGTCGCACGCGGACACGGCCCAGCCGTGTAAAGGGCGTGGACGTGAGACAAAGGTCCCCCAAATAGGCTGTTAGGGCAAGTGCTGTTAAGCGAGCACCTACGAAGATCGGCACGGCGCGCCTTTGAGGGGGGTGATGTGGCCAAAACCACACCTGGACATCCGTGTCTCCCCGGTGCTGATGCTTACACACCGCAGCAGGTACTCATTTGAGGCTGAGTCAACCTAGCAGAAGCCAAAGACCGTTCCAGATATTCGTCACCGATGTTGGCTCTTTGTGAAAATCTAACTCGGGTCATGCGTCGATAGCCCCGTGCGCTAACCACTGCGCCACCGCTCCCTATAGGCAACGACAACCGGCGTTCACCACTAAGTGGCGGTGATGTCACCACGATGCTTGTGCCAGGCTAGGTGCACTTTGAAGCCACGTGAAGTGTTAAAGGCTCGCTGGTACAAAGTCACAGGACAGTCCCAGGTGCCATGAGTTGACTGAGATGACTGGCAAAAGGACCACATGTGCTCCTCACTGAGACAAATTGCAGTGTTTTAGCCTCCCGGTGCTTTGCTCGTTGTTGTTGGAGGGTGATTGCCTCCAACTGCCCAGCAGCATCCTTCACGAGCTTCCTCCACAGAAGTCAACCATCACACCATTGGAACAAGTCATCCGCCACTCAACAACACATCATCCTGTACCACATCAGCCAATCTCTTTGCTAGCCTGCCTGTGCTGCGATCCGTTTAGCTAATATCTGGCCAAATGGAAGCTGCTTGGGCATGAGGTGGCTGGGTATGCTGGCTATATGACCGAGCCAACACAGCCTTGCCTGTCCGAGGAACTTACAAATGATGGGGACTGTGTCCAGATCTTTTAAGAATCTGTGAGCTCACACAAATCCAGCCTGATTAAACCGAGGATGGATAGTAGGCAGGCCAGACTGAATATTTCAAACTGGCGCAGATTTTTCTTTCGTGGGCTCCATAGACACACACACATTCAAAAGACAAAGATCCTCCCATATATCCTGAACAGACTGTTGGGACAAGTGCTGTTAGCGAGCACCTACGAAGGCCGGCACGGCAAACGAGGGGGTGGGTGGCCAACCCCATGCACCGCCGCCTTTGTCTTCCCAGTGGCGATGTTTACACACCGCACCAAGTGCTCATTTAAGGCTAAGTCGACCGAGGGGAAGCCCAGGTCCGGTTCAGATAATCATGACTGGTGTTTGCTGCGAGCGGGAATCGAACTTGTGTCGCCGGGTTCGTATCGCAGCGCGCTACCCGCTACACTACCGCTCCCGATACACACACATATGCACCACATAAGCAAAGGCAAAGATCACGCACATGTACACATAACGCACAAGTCATCAATCAAACACAGACATGCACAAATACACAATGACACGTACACATAGGCACAGGACAGTTGCTGCTCACTCATCCACACTTGGGGCCACGCACGCATGACCGCATATCAGAGTTGACAAAAAAATGTAATTCTCATTAAATAAAATTTAACATTAACTAAATTGCATTATTGTACGGTGCCCTTAATTTGGCCTGACCGGGTCTATGAAAATGATGAGTAATTATTATTCCAGCGTGCAGACTAACGAGCCGGACTAATTGATGGAAGTGGATTTTAATGCAAGTGAGATGGTCTAAGAAAGAGTGGCATGAGATCAGGCGAGTTTGTGTGCGCACGTGAACGTATGTGTGTGTGCACATGTGTGTGTGTGTACATGTGTCCGGCAAAAACAACCCCCTACCTCCTCGTGGTGCCGGATGGTAATGTTGTGGTGGGCAGTGCCGTGGGGGGAGGGCCAATTTAGATTGACCATTCCCCTCATGGCGTTTGTAACCACCACAGCGGCCAAATGGGGGCTCTGGATGGGTGCGAGGGGCTGGTAACCCCTCCATCTTCAATTAATTACCACAAAACCACCTTGAAAATATCTACTTAATAAGCTTGTGCCGGAGGCCCCAGGGGGACAGACGTCTATGACATCTACTGGCCAAATCCCATTTGGCGGAGCCAGGAGATTGAATCTTTACCATCGGGCCTCCTCCAGAAAAAACAAAAAGCCACTTCGGATGGCCACGTGGAATGTTCGAACGCTCACTGCGGAGGAGAGGCTGCTACTCCTCTGTCGGGAGCTGGACTGGTACCGCCTGGTTCTCTGTGGTATTCAGGAGGTCTGGTGGACCGGCTCTGGCTCCTGCCACCATGAGGGGTGGACAGTCCTCGACTCGGGGCAGGAGACTGCCAAACAACAGGGAGTCGCTCTTCTTCTGAACAAAAAAATCAAGGGGGCGTGGGAGTGAGGTGTGGGAAGCGGTAACCCCCAGATTACTTTGGGCTCGCCTTCCCATCAACTGGAGGTGAGGAGTGGTGGTCGTGGATACTTATGCCCCCACCGAAAACGAACATCCGTGGAGGGATGCAGGCAAGGCCAATGAGTCAGATGGCTTCTATGACCTCCTGTCACAGCTGCTAGCTAAAGTGGCCCCTCGGGATAGAGTCATCGTGTTGGGTGAATTCAATGCCCGAGTTGGTCATGATGCTGGCACCTGGTCTGGAGTGATTGGAAGGCATGGGCCAGATCAGCTCAATAACAACGGTAGGAGGCTGCTAGATTTTTGTGCAGCCCATGGGCTTGTAATTACTAACACGTGGTTCCGGCATCGGCACATCCACACAACATCATGGATGCATGCCGGGTCCAAGCAAGAACATCTACTGGACTACGTAGTGATGGAACAGCGAATGCGGGCCCATGTACTTGACACCAGAACTTACCGTGGAGCTGATCTGCCCACTGACCATCGACTTGTCATCGGTAAGATGCGCCTGCCATTCTTCCACTCCGGTGGTGTTTGTACACCCAGGACCCCATTCACGCCCAAGGTGGCCTGGTGTCAGCTAGCTGATGAAAGTTGCAAGCGAGAATTTAATCACTTGCGGCTGGGGTTGGCATCGTCCCCCACTCCTCCAGATGTCGAGGGGAA